ATAAAAAGTAAAAGTTATTTCAATATGCTTATTCCCTGGTTCCAAATAATTAAATATAACCTTGCAACTATATGTTACGATTCCAACTATCAGAACTAGCCGGAACAAGAATGGTGCATTTCCAGACCCTTCAATTATAAGATTACCATTATTTAATGTGTAGTGCAAATATAAAAAAAAACTACCTAAAAAATGCTGTTCCTGCTTTTATTACTTATGATGGGACTACTTCTCAAAGGAGACGAGAATGTGGAAAGTATTGCTGATACAGTTATCGAAGTTATCCACTAGAGGTGAAGTGTTAATCTTTTAGGAATCTAGAAAGAAAATTAACAATACACACAAAATTATTTAAAATTAGAAATAAATACAATTTACACATTTCCCATTATTACACTTTTATTTTCTTAATTTATTCATTTCTTATATTAACAATTTAAATTAATAATATAGTTCATTATTTAATTGGAACTAATTTTATAATTTTACTAATTATTTTTTTATATTTATTTGCGGAAAATGAAATGTTAAATAAAAGCATAGGAATTGTTCTATTGGATAATAGCAGTAATGAAAAAATAAGTAGGAAAATTTCAAATGTATAGTTTCCAGATTTATTATGAGTTTTTTATATTAATGTACTCAATAAGTAGGTTTATTATGTTCGCTTGTACACGTCACAGCAGCAGACAGTAACAAACCTGGCAACACTTCTGATTTCAGAAAAACATTACAACAATTTGTTTTACATTATATATTTCAATAATATAATATAATAATTATTTATATTTAATTAATGACAAGGTTTACTTTTTAAATAAAACTATATGAGCCCTGTCCCGTTTCAATTAGCACACTTCTCATATTTATAGTGACTGTCACTACAAGAACAAATCATACATAAATCTGATAAATTCTTTTATTATTTTAACCCTTTCACTTCCACTTTCATTAAAAAAAATACCATTGTAGTAGATTGTATGTTTTCTTTGTTTATTTTAAGTAAATTAAAATATTTTCATAGTATTTTTTATTACTCCAAGACATAACGTCCCTGTTCAGGGACATTACAAAAACAAAAATTTACTATGAAAATAATTTTTTTATAATATTAATCCTTAAAAGTAATGCAAATAAAGTAAATAAACCAAAAAGAAAAAAATTCTACCAAAATTAACAGATTTATACTTCAGGGTTAATTAAGAGTGTCCCTCTGGAGGGACAAATACACTGAAAGGGTTAAATATTTACAAATTTTCATGAGTGTTTCATCACCTTTAACTTTGATAACGGCAATAATTCATTAAAACATTGTATTTACAAGTTCTTGAAAATCTTGTGCAGGGAACCTACTCCATATTTTTAGATTACCCATTTGAATTAATTCTGGCAGTGATCTTGTGGGTGCTGCACGCCTCTGCTTAAAAATTATCACCCCATATACAAAAAAGCATCTTTATTAAATGAACAAGAAACTAAAAAAAAATAAGCATTATTAAAAACTACAAAAAGTGCATCATTTGAAAATCCATATTCAAGCTCCAGATTTGTAAAATTAAAAAAATTCCAAATACACATTTAACTTGTTTGATTATTTATTGAATAAAAGGTCTGTTCCAACGATCAGAAACAAACCACTGGGTAGTACACAATTTTGCAGTCTCAATAAACTACTGTGCAGAATCCTGATGTCAGTAACTCATTTCTGAGCATTGTTGGAACAAACCTAAAGTAAATCGAAACCACTTAAAAACAAGCACAACATTTATACTCGAGCAAATTTTTAATTCCTATCAAAATTTTTAATTACTGAATATTTTGTTCTAGTTATATTAAAATTTAAAAGTTCTTACTCTTCATTATAATTATATTTTTTATTTTCCCTATATACCTACATACTATCTCTAACATTTTACAAATTTGATGCCTAATTAAAGATTTCATCTAGCATTGCAGAACATAAAACGTTTTTCACATTTGTATAAATCTTCTACATCTGTCATATTAGGATAACAAGATTGTATCTAGACAGCTAGTTATTTTTTGGAGTTGAAGTTTGTATAGCCATTAACTTGTTTGATTTTCATTGTGTTTCTAACTCTAATTTAAGAGAAAATCTTAAGTGATAAAAAATGCAGAAAGAACTAAGCGACCTACATTTTTTAGAATATTTGATAAAGCATAGTAGTAACTGCCAGTTAAAACTGTGTTTCTAGTATTTAGTTTAGGTAACAGAGACAAGGCTTGGAACAGAAAATACATACTTTTGTTAATTCAGAATTTTTAAATGTTGTTTTATATTATACATCTTTCTAGGTATCCTCTATAATTTTTTTTATAATTTTCAATCAAAACTGTTTAAAAACAAAAAGTTTAATAAAAAAATACCCATTATATTTAATACGGTTTATGCTCTAAAACTCACTGTTCTTTTAATGGCAGATTTTTTAACCTTTGAGTAAAGTTATGCATAAGTATAATCTATAGCCTAATCAGCAAGTAGTTACTTTCAACTTTATTCAGAGGTAAAAACCTGGCCTTTAATCTTAATATAATTGTGGAGGATGGAGACTACATTTGCTAGGGATTAGGGAATAACAAAGATCTAACTACTATAATGACACTTGCTAAAAACTGTATAAGTTCTATGTACATGCAGATAGAACCATGTGAATAACTTTAGTGCTTGGATAACACAACATTGATAATTAACAGATGAACATATTGGTCACAAAAACAAATTAATTAATATATTCTACCAATCTCATTTTTTCCAAAAAGTACAGTTACAACCTTGTTATTCTTTGAGATGTATTTATTACTGATACTTATTAATAAAAATAATAATAATAATTGATATAGGTACTTACTGATCTTTGGAAACATATATACTCCAGTCCAGTGAGACTTCATTATTCTGGTATAATGCTATTTCACAGAAATGTTTGTAATTCCAATCACTATGTATGGATTTGATTATAGTAGGTATAAAACTAAATGTTTATTGAATATCTTTAATCTGGGCAATGAAAACCACAAAACTCACTTTAAAAATAATAAGCTTCAATCTGAGTACCATAGTTAAGGTCCACTTCTTCATTTTATAATCTGTAACCCACTGTATTGCTGTTTTTGCCAAAACAAAGGTAATATTTGAACACAAAACAAAATCAGCTGTTTTTTATAAACACCCCCATTTCACTTATTTAGTAGCAAGTCTCTGGCAGCAACTTGTAACTTAATTAGGCATTCCAACGACCTGTCCAAATGGCTACCAGTGGGTAATGACAGTTTAGATATGGCAACCCTGTTGTCAAGTTGTCATTAACAGGGTCAATGATACATATATAGTTATATAGATTGCTCAAAGCTGGTCGTTTACGAGCGGCCATATTGCCTGGCAAATATTTATTAATTTGAATCGGTTTAGCAAAAATGTGTTTTAAAACCAATTATTAGCCTTTAGATATTTAAAAAAAATAATTGCTTACATTTTTACTTTAAGGCATAAGCTTATGTTTATTTTGAAAAAAATGGATGATCAATCTATGTAACTATCTATTTCATTGACCTTGTCAAATCACCAGGCCTACAGGGTTGCCATAATTTTGCCATATCATAACCCGTCAAAACCCACTGGTAGCCATTCAGTTTGGAATGTCTAATTGGAGCATATTTATTAAATCTTGAACACTTTTTTTGATCCTATAAACGCACACATCAGTGTAGCTTGTTTAAAAAAAACACTTATAAGCAACCATCAATAACAATAAACTTATTTGTTGACCATTAATTTTTTCATCTGTACTTCTTCTGATAGTTTTGTTATTTTTCATTTCATATAAACTCGAATTTTCACCATCACCAACTATTTTTATGATTGCACTTTTTCTGACAGATAAAAAGATTGCCGCAATTTTCCGCCGTAACGACACTAGCGAACCTAGCGGATTTTTGCCCTAAGTACGACCGGTTTTGGTATGTTTTTTTCAGGGAGTTGAAACACCTTTATAGTGCGCCGTGATCCTACTTATAAGTGACAAATGACAGGCGCACGAAAATTAATTTGAATCGGGAATAGACTTGAGATGCGACTCTATGGGCGAAGACAGGTTATTTTTCATCTCACTCGGAAGTATTTATAACCACCATTTTCTGTTTCACTTTGTTATTGTCTGATCCACCAGCTTGTGGATTGAACAATAACAATGTGAAACAGAACATGGTTATTATTATTATAAATACTCCCAAGTGAGATGAGAAATATAAATGGATGCGTCCATAGAGTCGCATTTTGTTCTATTGATACAATATGCACTTTAGCTTTCCACCCCACTCCAGTTCATTGATGCCTTGAAGTAAAAATGTAAGCAATTATTTTTTTTTAAATATCTAAAGGCTAAAAATTGGTTTTAAAACACATTTTTGCTAAACCGATTGAAATTAATAAATATTTGCCAGGCAATATGACCGCTCGTAAACGACCAGCTTTGAGCAATCTATATAACTATATATGTATCATTGACCCTGTTAATTACAACATGACAACAGGGTTGCCATATCTAAACTGTCATTACCCACTGGTGTCACAGAATACTATTATTAGGCATTCCAACGACCTGTCCAAATGGCTACCAGTGGGTAATGACAGTTTAGATATGGCAACCCTGTTGTCATTAACAGGGTCAATGATACATACATATATAGATTGCTCAAAGCTGGTCGTTTACGAGCGGCTATATTGCCTGGCAAATATTTATTAATTTGAATCGGTTTAGCAAAAATGTGTTTTAAAACCAATTTTTAGCCTTTAGATATTAAATAAAAATAATTGCTTACATTTTTACTTCAAGGCATACGCTTATGTTTATTTTGAAAAATATGGATAATCAATCTATGTAACTATCTATTTCATTGACCTTGTCAAATCACCAGGTCTACAGGGTTGCCATAATTTTGCAATATCATAACCCGTCAAAGCCCACTGATAGGCATTCAGTTTGGAATGCCTAATAGTGGTTATTCTGTGCTGGTGTTCTGTGCCCACTGGTAGCCATTTGGACAGGTCGTTGGAATGCCTAATTTTCCTTCTTACATGGTTTTTGGTCCTTAGCATTGTATTGTTTTTAGGAACAAAAATAAAAAATGGTCTATGATTAGCAAAACTATGAAGACTAGAGGAGTAGAAAAATTAAAAGCCTAGAGAGCAATTTCCTTGATATGGGACCATAAATAAAAAAATATAGGACAATGGACAATTTACCAAGCAAGTAACTAGGGCAGAGACAAGGGTTTTTATTTTGGAGATATTGGGGTGTGCCGCGATTAAAATTAAAACCATTTAAAACGATGGACGCGAAACAAGAACCTTTCGATCCCCATGTTGAAATAAAACAAGAAATTGTCCAATTTGAAGATACTAAAATTGAACAATATTCGCATTTGCCGATAAAAATTGAACAATATTCGGATTTACCAATAAAAAGTGATCGTCCTGAATACGTGCACAAATGTGAATACTTGCAAAATTTTCCTATAAATGTTAAAGAGGAACCTAACGACAGTGATGTAAAAGTGACCGATTTGTATAGGGTCAGTAATATCAAGCAAGAAGTTTGTGAATTTGTGCAGCCTAAAACTGAATTTTTGACTTTGAATACACATTGTGATTTACCGACTTTGAAAAATGAAAGTATTGATCATCTATGCCATTTGGATCAGCCAATTCAGACTAGCAACAATAAACAATACAATACGATATTTAGAGGGTTAGAAGGTACTACACATGTTTCTGAGAAGACAAAGAGGAGGTTCCCTTGCCCTGTTTGTCAAAAAAGTAAGTTTGTTTTGAGTTAGGTACTATAGTCAAGAACAGCCAAAATTAAAATTGGCTCTGGCATACTTATATACCTACACTAAGTAGTACCCATTGCCTATTGGGATTACGCAAAAACTAAACATAAGTACTTGTAGGTATGGCTATTGTAAACAAAAACCCAAGTTCCATCTTTGGTGCAAATGAATAATAGACACAAATTATTTTTTTTGAAATAATATGCCATTTTCCATTAATTTTATCAACTTTATGGGAAAGGGCATGAATAGGAGTGCTGGGTCAGTAAAACAACGTCAATAGTTATTACCTATATTATTAAATATTGTTAACATAAGGAAAATTATTAAAAATGTATTGCTGTACCTTGGATACTAAATAACTGAATGGTAAACTTTTTGTGCGACTTGGCAAAAGTGTTAGACGTAAAAGTAACATATTTGAGCTTTGACTTGAGAAAATGAAATATTTTCATTTAAAAAAAGTTAATTGTGTCGTTATTAATAGAGAGTTATAGCAAATTTCTATAACGTCAGCCACTAATAGTGGCAACGTAATTAGAGGCAAATCAATTCCATGCTAAAATAAGACTTATTGCAAACCTGAAATTTTGACATTAGAATCCTTCGTCCTTATACTTATTTCTAACCTCTTTTTAATTACTTTAAATTATAGTTCATCTTTTTTGTTGTCTATAATAGTACATAATAGATGACTATTATGTTAAATATTTAATATTAAAAAACTTCGAACAGATACGAATGTCGACGAGCGCACCCGAAAGCTATAAAATCGCCACTACTTGCTGCCTTTAAATATCCACAATTAAGGACAGGCACAATCTTTAATAAAGTCAATTTTAGAACATAAACAATCTGCACATGCTTGGATGTCAAAATAAGAGCGGCACTAATAGTGACTGGCCTTAAGTGAACTTGCAATAACTCTATTAATATGTACAAAATATGGTACTAAGATTTTTTGTTTAAATTAGTGGTACCTGTAAGTACTTATGCTTAGTTTCTTCATAAGTGAAAAGAGCTCAAACTAGACAATATGAATATCTTTCTAAAAAAAAAATGGATAATAGACTCTTTTCTGAGAAAAATTGTAAAGTTGCAATTTTATAGTTGATTTACCTTATATTGACATTGATCATTCATTAACTATTCACTGATATCTAAAACACGAAATAGGTAGACTATAATAAGAGAGAAAATGATTTTTTTGTGTTGTCTGGTTGTTAAATTTAAATCTCCAGTAATAAATATATTTTAGTGTTAAGATAAAATGGAATTTAATTTTGCAGTCAATTATAAGATTTTCCTGGCTCTCTTTTTTTCTAAGAAAATATTCAGTTACCCACATTTTTTTTTTAGAAATGTACTCTAGGATGGGTATCAGTATTTATTTATTTTTTCAAAATTTTGATGTAATTAATGTGTATCAGACCACTAAAATTGATCAGAGTAAGAGTATTTATGACAAAAAATGATGGTCAAGGCTCATTTTTAACCTGTCAGAAGTTCAATCATGCAAATCACAGGTTATTTTAACTTTAATTCAAAGAACAACACAATTGGAGTCTAATTTTCAACATATATTTCGAAAAAATTTATTATTATAATTTATCACTTGAAAATTAAACATCTTAATTTACAGGTTTACTTTAATTTTAAATAATAACTTAGGATTAAAGCCTAAGATTGGAAATGTATTATATCTTGAATATAAACAAGTTATAAAAGTAATTTTAAAAAACTGACTCCAAAAATGATATTTGATGATTTTCTAATGGACTCCATCATCCAATCTTGACTGAATTTATATGGGATCACCCCCAAGGTACCCCCTTTTTAACAAAAAAGAATATGAAATATGACAAAGTGGTAAAGAATTATCACTGAAGGTAAAAAATATTCTGACGAATTGAGAATCTCCTTCTTTAAAGTGCAGGTACCAATAATTAAAATGGTCCATCAAGTGCTCCAGTACTCCAGTAATTGACACCTGTTCAATTGTTCTTCAAAAATAAAAACAGACAATATGAAAAATTTCTCTGATTCATAGTTGTTATTAGAATATTTAGCTACATAATGAATATTAGGTGGGTTATATAGCCAGTTGCAAAATAGTGAAAAGAGTATGCACAGTAAGTATTTATTTTAAGAAAATTCATGAGGCTGGTAAGATCAAATTGAATATCTCAATTTCTCATCACTTTAAATTTATTTAAAGTATTCCAGGGGCTATTTTTTAACTCGAGTGAAATGAATTCTCTCAAGATTTTCACTAGACATATCATATGTCAACTTGGAAACAATGTTTTAAAGCTAGCGAGGATTAAAATTAAAAGGATATTTCTAATTTTTTCGAAATAAACCGAGAGAAAGTCAGTGAATTCTCACTGGATTTAAAAATATTGTTTCCACGTTGACATATGAAATATATCCTGAAAATTTTGAGAGAAATGAGTAGTTTGAAAATTGGTCCCCTGGGTGTGTATTAAACAACTTAGATGGGTTTTTACTTTTTTTTATATTTGTAAATCCTTTAATCCCATTTTTATCAAAGCATTAATAACTGGAACGATCAAAACCAGTATGTTCCAGTTATTGACAAACTGTCAAATACTGATACATACTATAGTCCCACTGTCTAAAAAATCTGCAAAAGATCTAACATATTTTTGGTTCCATTCATTAAGGGTGGTAGCTATTATTGGTAAAAGAAGTGTTAATCACCGAAACACGTTTTCTGTTATGGCACCTACAAAAAATTATGCATAGACTAAGTAAATTTATTGTTTATTTTCACTTAAATTCCTTTAGTTTGTGTCAATAATTGGTGTGTTAATAACTGGTACAAGAAAAAAAATCAATTGTTAGTGACTGGTGCGTCAAAGGACTTCTTCTATAATACTTATTTCAAACTCACTAATGAACTATAAATTACAAGGAAAAAAATCATTATATATGCTTAAAATTATTAATAGTGACAGTATTTAATACATATCAGTGTCCGATAGTGTCAATTATTGGTGCAGTTACCTTACTGTAGCTAAATTAAATTCTCTGAATTTTTCTTGAAAACCCACTTTATCTAGCTCAGGGTCGCCGAGAGTCAGGTCGGGCCCCGGGACAATTTTTCAGGTCGGGTCCCGCGATAATTTTATAAAAACATTAAGCCTTTTCACATTTCTGAAAAAAATAAACGTTCTAAAAAAGTCCTAAAAAATTCCTAAAAAAAAAATTCCTAAAAAGTTCTAAAAAAGTCCTAAAAAGTCCCAAAAAGTCCTATTTTTTTGAAAAAGTCCTAAAAAATGCCGCTGCCGGGCCCCCACTTAAGCCCGGGCCCCGGGAATTAGTCCCGGCTACCCCCCTCTTGTCGGCCCTGATCTAGCTGTAGATAACTTAATTTAATTGGAGCTTGGATTATATTTATCAGATTATATTATTTTATTATTAAACATACAGGCAAATCAATGTTTATTAGTAGTTTTTGTAAAGAAGAATCGCTTAGCATATTAATAGAAATAGAATTTATTCATCTTTGAGAATTATACACTATACAAAGACACTAGGTACATAATGTAAAATCCTATCAGACTAGTCAAAAAAGTGTTAAGTAAAATACATTAAAAAATAAAATATATATAATAGACAATTCATGTTAAGATTAGTTTAAAAGTTCAAAAAATATTCTATACTATAAAATACATTATTTACAAGAAAATCATTAAGATGTTTTCTTAAATCATTATGACTAATTTGATGATAACCTGTATCTTCTAATATGTTACTGAACTTATTGTAACTTAATCCCAATATATTTTGGTGAATGCTGGCTTATTTGTAGTCGTGAAAAAGGTTGATGGATGTTAAATTTTAATCTAGTATTATATGAGTGCAGGTCTTTATTTTTCTTAAATATATGCTCATTATCTTTTATGCATAAAATTAGTTGTAAAATAAAAAGGGAAGGTAGTGTTAAAATTTGTGTTTTCTTGAAAAGTTCTTTACATGATGTTGTTTGTGTCACCTTATACATGGCTCTCAGAACCTTCTTTTGAGATACAAACGCTCTTTCAAAGTATGGTGAAGAAGAACCCCAAAATATTAACCCATATTGTAGAGTTGAATAAACCAAACCAAAATAGCATAGTTTTAAAGTATCAAAAGATAGTGTCTCCCTTAAATTTTTGATGATTTAACGACAAATACTTAATTTTGAAGTTACCAATAAACTTAATTTGTTAACCATTCTATTTTTCATCTTTAGTTTCAATAGTCTGTGATTCGTTAACACTGCTTTTGATGATTTTGTCACTTTTTATAAACTTAATATATTAGTACTATTATTGGAAGTTCTCCAATGTAATTTTTGACTTGATAAAAGCTATAATAAACTTGAGGTTAGCCATATGTGAGTAGTAATTGAGTACTCTTCGTACTTAATAAACTGAGTTGCACGAATGAACTTCTGACAGGTAAAAAATGAGCCGCCATCTTTTTTCGTACAGTGTTCCACTGTTGCCATGGTCAAATGGTGACAATTGATGATTCAAGCCAAAGATATGTCTATGATTCAAGCTAAGCGTCATATGATTGTGGATTTTCCTTCCATGTTACCTTCAGTTGTAGTGATTGAAAATCCTGATCAATTTTAGCCACATTTTCTTTTATTTTTAAATTGGAGTTGGTTTTCTCATTATTTGAAGATTTCTTTTTTTATTACAGAATGTTTTTCTTCTATATCAAGACTAAACCACATTTATGGACATTTTAGAAAATACCCAGAAATTCGTAAGTTTTCACAATTTAGTTATTTAAACTCCTTAGGGTCATTTTACAGTTCGTGAATGCAAGTTAAATTTCGGCAATTCGTATTGCACTTCTCTGCACTGACATCCTTTCTATCAGTTATTGCAATTGCAGAAAATAGCGGTCTAGGACGATCGGGCGCGGCTGTTCGGGCGCCGACCGTTCGGGCGCCGGGCACTTGGCCGCGACATTCTATGCACGTATCATAAATGTAATAATAAAAATAATACATACTGAAAATTGTAAATTGTGATTAACATTTCATTTTTAAATAATTAAACATTTTTCATGAACGTCAAAATACAGTCTAATGAACATTAGCTATTGGGAATTTAGCAGGCCTTGCAATGGGGCGTCAGAATATTATTTATTACCTAGGGCCTAAGGTAACAAAAATTTTAGTTTCCAAAATATTGGAAAAAATCGATTTTCATTTCTAACGTCAACATTATGTAACTTTGTACTTTTGTACAGTAAGGTTCAATCGACCTATTTTTGACACCACCAGAATATATGATAATATAAAACCAATCTTTTCGGGAACTGTATACTAGTTTAAAAATAAAACAACTATATAAAAAATACGGGAGGCAACATATTCGATAACTCGTCGATTGCTTCATCTAAATCTTCTATAGGCACAAACGCCAGAGAAGTAATCATACGTCCTTGCAATGCAAAATCGGCTTCATTATTATACCTTCCCATGAGATGAAGTTCGCCCAAATGTTTTCTCATATTTTTTGTTAAATGAAACAAACATCCTAGAATTTGAACATTTGGAAATGCATTCCTAAACGCATTAATAGCGGCCAACTCAAAATCACATGAGATCTTCCTAGGATTTAAATTTGGTTCAACTTGTTTTAGTAATGCTATCATTCTCGCATACGTTGCAGTCTACTTATTTGGCAACAGGGCATAAGCCACAGGATGCACTCCACCAAATCTTTCGGCTATAACAACATATATATACGAATTTTTATTTTACCACGAAAGCAGTCAACTTCCACTTTTGCTGCGTTACTGTCATGGGAATGATTATTAATTTGTTTTATTACATCGTTCGATATATGGATACGACATTTACACCCATTGTTCTTAAGTTCACAACGCCAATATTCTTTAGTTGCACACACACTTAATTTGTCAAAAACGTAACAGTATCCATTACTGACATATTTTTTCTTTCCTGCTTTAGAAACCACTTCCATCATCAAAAGCGAGTACTCAGAATAAAAATAATAATTGTAGAAAGAAGAAAAATAGCAGATAGGCAAAAAAACGTGATGGTAGCACAGTCGTTATAAAAGGAAACAACAGAAAAAATCACAATGTCAAAGCGTAAAGTAGCAAGCAAAGCTAATAGACAACTGTTATAGTAATGTTAAAAATTTCTTATTTTCGAACTGTCCTCACCCGCACCTCACCGACTCAGATAATAAATTTTAAGTGAAACGATTTCAAGGTTAATTTATCTGAGAAATAAGGGATTACATACAAATATTATGTTAATTATCTGAGGAATAAGGGATTAATTGCAAACAAATTATGTACTTATATTAAATTGGACGGGAATAAATCCATTACAAATTTATTAATGGGGTACTTGTATGAATTAAAATTACCCGTAGTAATTTACAGGTAACTAAGAAAAGATTTGGGAAATCCCAAAATATGCTGCTTTTGGTGTACTTATTGAATATCTTTAAGAAATAATATAAAAGTATTGTATTGCACTCTTTTTCTGAATTATTAGCAATAAATAAAAATATTTAGGGATTAGTAATAATAAAAAACTAAAATAGTTATTTTTGCATGGTACAAACTAAGACGACATCATAACATCGTCCGGAAAGAAGTAGCATTTATATAAGAAAATCACATAAAAATTAAAAATAACATTATGATCGTAGGCTCTTAAAATATATTAATAATTCTATTATTATGGTGAGAATTATATTTATTGCTAAATCTCGAAAATATTACCAGTGGGCTTTTCTTTATTATTATGAAATATAAAAATTTCGCGCCCGAATGGCTGGCGCCCGAACAGCCGCGCTCGACCGACCGGGAGCCCGATTGACCCCGCGCCCGTACGGCGCGCCCGAACGGCCGCGCCCGAACGGCGGCGCCCGATCGGCCGCGCCCGATTGTCCGACTCCCAGAAAATAGCGACTGACTGAAAATTCATTGTCGCAAGTCGAATTTTAGGGAAAAAGAATGTGAATAAGGGTTGGCTAATTTAAAAATCCCTAGAACATATATTCCTGACATTTAACAAGTTTTATGATGTCACGTGGACTAACTCACTGAAATATGGAAGATGAAAGTATTAATGATGACTTATGTTCGCCAACTTAAGTCAATAAAGAGGTACACGCACCAACTAGATATGGAAACAAGTTCTTCAATATAACAAGCAAATTATGGAAAACATGCCATTTAATAATTTCATAAAAACATAGTTCAGGGATTTATTTCACGTATCATGACACAAAACATGTTAAATGCCAGGAATGTATACAAGGATGGGATGAACAATTTTCAGCCTAAGAGAAAAACAAAATAAGGAGTCAAAAATCCTTTTATTTTTCGACAGTCTCTATAAGCGTTGCACTTGACAAATTTAAGATTTTTAAATCACCATTTTAAATAAAAAAAAAGGGTGTGTGCTTAAGACCACACGTCAGAAGTGAAAACTTATTTGGTATTGGTAATTCTACATAAACAGAAAATTATTGTAGTGTTATTACGGATATTGGTTAAACATAGAGATGCATATTTTATTAATGTCATTTTATATCTATTTTCATCAATTATTTATTTACGGGAGCATCCCATTTTACAACAAGTAAAAAATATATGTTATATACACAAATACTAAGTAAAGCGATAGAAAAGAATTATAATATGTAAAATATTTGATTAACGAGGGAGCCAGTAACGGTACTTTCAAGTGTCATTAAGAAAGTGGTGAGTAATAGGTACGTATTGTGAATAAAGGTTGTGAAAAACCGAAAAGAAATCTATTTCTATAATGTTAGCACTCCTAACTTATCGTGTTACAAAAGGTGTAATTTTGTCTATAGCATCTAATATAAAAAGCTTAATTAGCTGTCATTTAGATAATTTTGTATTAAGTAAGAATTAAGAAAACATGTTTATTTACTCACGAATAAGTCAACCATCCCTACTTAGTTTACTGTTAAAATTTACCCAACGGGCTCTTTTAAAGAGATTAGGTTCCTATAAAACAAATATCGAGAGGTAAATTTATTAAATAAATTGTGTAGGTACGTAGGCATTACACACCCGAATATTCAATATAATTTATGATTTAATAAATGTTCTTTTGTGATTTTGCTGTCATAATTATTGGGCATTCCAAACTGAATGCCTACCAGTGGGCTTTGACGGGTTATGATATTGCAAAATTATGGCAACCTTGTAGACCTGGTGATTTGACAAGGTCAATGAAATAGATAGTTACATAGATTGATTATCCATATTTTTCAAAATAAACATAAGCGTATGCCTTGAAGTAAAAATGTAAGCAATTATTTTTTTTTAAATATCTAAAGGCTAAAAATTGGTTTTCAAACACATTTTTGCTAAACCGATTCAAATTAATAAATATTTGCCAGGCAATATGGCCTCTCGTAAACGACCAGCTTTGAGCAATCTATATAACTATATATGTATCATTGACCTTGTTAATGACAACATGACAACAGGGTTGCCATATCTAAACTGTCATTACCCACTGGTAGCCATTTGGACAGGTCGTTGGAATGCCTAATTGTCTTTGACAGTCAGCTGTCATGACGTAGGTAGATTTTCAGTTGAAATGACTTCAGTTTTAAGCGACGTTGAGTTTTTGGTTTATAACTTAGCAACTAGAGTTTTAAATTACGAGCATATGGGTCATCTTTACTTGTTTAGACTGTTTAGAGCATTATCTAAATTAAAATTATCTTTACGACCACATACCCTTTTTAAAATATTTAGCTTGATCATCCACACGGCACTCATACACTGCACGCCGCATTTTTATTCACACTGAATACCCCAAAACAAGTCAATAAACAAATTAACATTAACATTTTTGAATGTTTTGACATAAAGCCGCCATAATTCTTTAGGTTGAATACTTCCGATCCGCATTAAGGTATTTCTCTAAATATTAAGCATCAAATATTCCAGAAAACAGATTTCATAGTTCATTATGATGCTAATAAACCAAGGCTGCCACAGAGTTCGGCTCTCCTCCCAGTTCCTCCACTCTGTTAACCTTTCTTTAGAAATTGGCAACATTTACGCGGGTTAAACAAATCTAAGGTGGCTCCTAGCATGCGCAATATCATATCTCTAACAGCAAAATTACATTAGTTTCATTCTTTTACTTTATAACGTAAAAATTAGCCTTTTTTTTTCCAAAAATCCTTGTCTCAAAGCAACTAAGTCCCCAAATATTTTGTTTTATGATACTGTTCTAGACTAAGTGGCCCTTTCCGCACAAAATCTGATGGGTGGGTGTTGTTGTCATATCTTATGAAGTAATTTTTTTCGTTTTTTAAAATTTTACAATTTCTTGTGGCCAAACGCCCCAGATTTGAAATATATTATTGACTACAAAAATTTTAAATGATGTTATTGATCCACATCAAATCTGACACTTAGAGCTTATATTTAGTAATAATAATATGACGTATTTATCTTTCTATTATCTGAAAGACAAGTATATAAAATCTACTATCAACAAATCATCACATTCAACAAAACCTTATGCCTATTTTGCACTCTCCGTCAGTCTTCCCCTCAGTTCTCTACTTTCGTTCCTATAATTTGATCTATACATCAGCGACACTGTCTACCCTTATCTAATAATACTTTTTAATGTAGTTCTCCTAGTTTCTTTACTACAGCTCCAAAAACCCATTTAGATTTTCCTCCGTATTGGCAGACTTGTACTCTCTCTCCCCCTCCTTAAATGTTCTTATTTTTTTTGTCTTTTGGACTGTACTGATTTATTATATTGGTTAATAGATCTAATCTGGTTCGAATATTTCTACCAAACATCAAGTTCTAAGCACTTTTCCCTGAAGCATTTTGTACTTTCCGGATTATCATTAAAATTCTGCAAATCTTCACTTCTATGTCCAATTTTTCATTTTCTGAAGTATGTAGAGCCCGTTTGATTGTTTGAACAAATCTTTCCATTTGTCCATTTGTCGCTGGGTGGTAAGGGCCCAAAGTTTTATGCTGTATTCCATTTGTTTAAAAAAAATCAAACATTCGAAGTAAATTGTGGTCCATTGTCAGATACCAGTGTAATGGGTAAACCAAATGTTGTAAATAACTGCCATAAGTTGTTTTATACACCAATTAGTACTTGTTATTTTGCTTCAATCCATCTTGTATATGCATCCACTACAATAAAGAACGATGTTCCTTGAATAGGTCCTGGGAAGTCAATGTGGATACGTTGCCATGGTTTCTGAGGCAACTCCCATGAATGAAGTTTAGTTTTAGCAGGTGGTTCATTTCTTTTTTCTCAACATTGCTTACATGAACTTTCCAGATTTTCTGTCTTTGTCCACATTTCGCCAATGGCAATAGCTTCTGGCGAGTGCTTTCATCTTAGTCATGCCAATACGAAGTTCCTTTAATACTTCACATAGCAATTTTTGAGTATCATTACTTTAGCTCCTAGCTCTACGAAAAATACACCCATCTTGCAGCGTTTATTCATTGTCTTCATAGCCTAATTATTTTAAACTCTCCCCATTTTGTACTTTAGGTAGTAAATATTTTAAATGATCATCCTTAGTAGTTTCTCTTGCAATATCCTTAATTATTGTAATTGGTAAAGTTTCAATCTGGTTTAGCTGAAACATTTCGTACTGATTATCTTTAAAATTGATAATACTCTCTTCAACTGGAAATCTGGACAAACAAATATCTTACTCTGAATGGTTTGGATAGTTTTAATTTCATTCAAGTTTATTATGGACTTCCGAATCCATTCCTTTCCAAATATAAGGTCGACCTGAGCTTTGATTATGTATAGTTTCCTATGAAATGTTTCATTGTTAATTGAATATTGGACATATACTTTACCAAATGGAATAATTCTTTCTCCTGTATATGTACGTAAGTCAATCGTTTTAAAAATTTGTAGAGTTAGTTGTAATCACTATTCGGGATTGTAGACAAAGCAGCTTTTGTATCTAATTCCATTTTGATTGGTCTTCCCTCAATGTTGACTGTTATTATAAATTTATCATTTGTAGACGAGGTAATTATATTAATTTCTGCATTCTCTTCATTGTCAGTTTGACCCGCTTCTTCAAAGTCTCTTATTTTATGTTTGACTATTTTTGTTATTCTGTTTTTATAAACAAACTTTATATGTCTAATCACAAATTTTGTCCTTGTAACTGGTATCTGCGTTATGTCGCTTATCTCCACATCTGTAACACTGATCATTCGGTAATCTCCACAATTTTATTTGTATCAGTACTTTGAGTTAGTCAAAAACTACTATCAACTCAACATTCTACAAAACCTTAAACTTATTTTGCATTCCCTGTCAAGTTCCCTCTCCATTATTCGCCTCAAAATTATTCTGTATAACTGTAATTTTTTAGGTCTGTTAAGATTTAGATATTGCGTCTGAGTTGACAATTTTTAAGAGTTTTCAAAGCAGTATTTTTAATAAAAAAATATATTAATTAAACGTTAATGTAAAATGATATTAAAATTAATATATTTTTCGTTTTAGCTTTCAAGTCTTCTAGAAAAAATCTCTTCAACGCTCAGTTTCGAAGATGTTACGAAAATTGTTTATATTGCAGTCAATTTTTTTTTAACACGTCTCAATTTCTGTCTCATTTTATTGTTATTCATTATATTAAAGAAGTAACAAAAATTTGTAACCAAAAATATGGAAAAACTGATCATTGTAGGTGTAAAAATTGTTTACAGTGTGTAATTTATCCTAATGAAAAACTGTTCCAGTATGAAGTTGGTTCTAAAACATTTCAAATCAAAAAACAATTAAATAATCGCATGGAAAAATATACTGGAGGAAAACCGTTAAAGTCTAAATTATGTTCGAAAGGTTTTGGTTGTAAGCGCAATTTAAAAAAGCACTTAAAAATGCACCCTGAAAAAAAATCCTTAAAGTGTGAAATATGTTCCAAACAATTTAACCATTACGGAAATTTGAAAGCGCACTTAAGAATTCACACTGGAGTGAAACCGTTTAAATGTGAAATTTGTTTGAAACAGTTTCGCCATAAATGCACTTTAGAAACGCACTTAAAAATGCACACTGGAGAAAAACCGTTCAAGTGCGAAATATGTTCATTATCGTTTAGAGATAAATCCAAGTTGAGGTATCACTTAAAAATTCATGCTGGAGAAAGGTCGTTCAAGCTCGCTTTCAAGTGTAACATATGTTCGAAAGAGTTTATCTATAAAGATTCTTTTAAAATGCACTTAAGAATTCACTCTGGAGAAAAGCCATTCACGTGTGAAATCTGTTCGAAACCGTTTAGAAGTAAGTCCAATTTGAGAACACACTTAAAATCTCACACAGAAGAAAAACCGTTCAAATGTGAAATATGTTCGAAACATTTTAGGCATAACGGCAGTTTACATAACCACTTAAATCTTCACACTGGAGAAAAACCATTTAAGTGTGAAGTATGCTCAAAACAGTTCTGTCAGAAAGGCGGTTTGAAAACACACTTCAGGATTCACACTGGAGAAAAACCGTTTAATTGTAAAATATGTTTGAAACAGTTTAACCATATAGGCACTTTAAGAACGCACTCAAGAATTCACACAGGAGAAAAACCGTTTAAATGTGAAATATGTTCGAAACAATTTCGCCATAAATGCGCTTTGGAAACGCACCTAAAAATTCACATTGGTAAAAACAGTAGTTAAAAATAATTGTTAAGTTTATCTATTTGTTTATCGAAATTAGATCACTCGAGACTCATTTCTAATTATATTTAAACACGAGAATTTAATTAAACTCATTTTATTGTCAGAATACAACCGGCGATTGCCGCTTATGGCCAACTTCTCTTACTCAGGATGTCTGGACCAAAACATTCACAGCGCTCGTTGGTCAGTGGCTCGGCGCGTAAATTTTAAAATATAAATTAAGAGCTAACGTAATATTAATAATAATAAAAATATTTATTTCACAAAAGAACAAATATAAATACATATTTTATTAATTGCAAGTGTATACAATAAACTCAGTTTATGCACACACCTGAAGTAGGTTTACAATTCATACTTATATTCTATTGTAAAAGAAAGAAAAGTTGTCCTACGTAGAAATTGAGTTTTGAAATGAGAAAACGATATGTAGTAATAAAAAAACAAAATTAAAAATAGTGATAAGTGAATGTGAATTAACAATACAATCAAATATAATGGTTATGAGTATTTGTGTTAAGACTGTTTTCCACGAAACGGACAGTTGAGTTTATGTTTTGTTTGAGTTTTTGGAACTTGCAAAACAAAAACAAAACTGAGAAAATCCCAAAACTTGTTTCTATCAAGCGGACTATATTTTTTCCGGTTTTGTTTTTGTTTTCGGTCCTTTTCCATTGGTTGTCGCGAGGAAGTCGGAACACATTTTTTCAATATTTTATTTATTTATTTATTTATTAATAGGTCCAATTTGAAAAGATATAAAAGTAGTTTAAAAGATGTATATGACAATTATGACATCATAAAAACCTAAAAAGGACAATATTTGGACTTAACCTAGTCTGGCTCTGACACACAGATATATATTCCACTAATAAATACACCTGGTATATAAATTTATTCAAAGTTTCAAAATAAATTACTTATTACTAATTACATCTATAAAAAATACATTATAATTGTCTTACTTATAGGTACCAATTTTGTACAAAATTTATACAACACGACCGTTTCCAGTAAACAGACTCGAGTTTGAAAACTCGTCGAAACCTTTTGATGACTTGAGAAACAAAACTCCAACTGTCGCAAAACACGCCAGTTTTCAAAAAGTTTGGAAAATGTTTCAGTTTTGTTTTTCTCGACACGAGTTGGTGTTTTGTTTCGTCCGTTTAGTGGAAAACCGCCATTATGTAACCATAGTAGAAAATCTTTTTATTTTTGTCTGAAATTTGTTGATAGTATTGTGGATCTTTGAAGTCATATAATACAAACTTCTCTGGACAGATGTATATGTTACTGGTATGATAACATTGTTAGAAATCATGTTTTTTGTATTTTGGATATGATTAATTTTAGTTTATTATATGATAGATTTTATGTGTGATTGCTTCAGGATACAGAATATCAGATGAGAAAGTTTTCTTTTTAATTTTTTTTGTTACACTAAGTTTGTTCAGAACATTGTCATATGCACCACCCCATGTACTAATGCCATAGTTTAAAATGGTTTCGTCTGGTGATTTGTATATATGACACTTTTCTTTGTTAAGCATTGCCTTAATAAGTAAACTTCTAGTAAAGGTTTCTAATCTTGGTGACCGCGTAGTCAATATGTTTGTTCCATTTTAATTGTCTGTCAATGTATATACCCAAATAACGTATGTCCCAATAGTTTTGGCAGAAAATATTTATCCCTATATTTTTTTAATAAGTAATAATAATAATAATAATAAAGCGTCTTTATTCATCAAGTTTTAGTATAAGTGTAAATATATACATATATAAGGTAGATGAAAAGGTGAAGTTCAGCTTGTGCTGATTTACAACTTAACCTGTAAATAACATTGAAATATAATAATATAATATAATAGAGAAAAAAAAGTATAAAAAATAAACAGATTTTCAAAACCAAATTCGTTGCATTATATAATATATTTTTTTATGACCATTGCTTATTGAACAAAGAATCTTTTAGGCGTTTCTTGAAATTAAGCAAGTTATATGATTTAAATTCATTTGTAAGTTTATTGTACTCTTTACATGCAACATACGAAAAACATCTTTTAAATAGAGCCGTGTTATGATTCGGTACCACCAAGGTCATTCGATTTCGCGTAGGAAATTCATTAATATTGGAAAATGTCTTTAATTTGTTAACTAAATAATCAGGTTTCTGTATGAGTAAAACTTTGTGAACTTGGGTTAATAAATGCAAAAGGCGATAGTTATTGAAAGTCAACCAACCTGATTCTTTCATTTTATTCGAGATATGATCAAATTTTCGAATTCCATAGGCGAAACGTAGACAGCTATTCTGGATTTTTTGTAAACGAGCGGAATCGGATTGGAGTAGGGCTGGACCGTAGATGGAATCACAATAACTGAGTTTGGAAAAAATGAGAGATTCACAAAGTTTAAGTTTGAGTTGTGTGGAAAGCAGGTCTCGGTTAGGGTACAACTGTCTCAAGACGTTGAACGAACTTTGAGATATGGTGGAGGTATGTTTACTAAAACGAAGATCAGAATCTAACCAGAGACCTAAGTTTTTTCCTTCATTCGTGATTTGAAGAAGAGCATCGCCTAATTTAATTTGTAATGCGTTTATTGTTAATTGTCTTAATTTTTTGGGGCCAAATAACATGATGGATGATTTTTTAGAATTTATTTTGAGGTTGTGAGCTGTAGAAATATCAAGTAATGCATTTAAATCGTCGTTAATAAGATTTTGGGCAGTAAGTAAGCACTTATTATTAAACGAGTGATATAACTGGGTATCATCTGCATAATGATGGATCACACAATTTTTAACAAAACTATGAAAATCTGCTATATATAGTGAAAACAGCAATGGTCCCAGAATGGATCCCTGCGGAACACCTTGACTAACGGGTAGACTGCTGGATACATCAGCTTCCAAAATAACTTTATGAGTACGATTGCTAAGAAAATTTGATATTAGACGAACGGATTTATGAGAAAAACCGAAAAATTTCAGTTTTTTGCAAAGTGTTGGATGATCTAAAGTATCAAATGCTTTGCTATAATCAAGAAGAACCAAACATGTGACTTTTCCCAGGTCTGTCGCTTTAAAAAGGTCATCCGTGATAGATAAGAGGGCAGTGGTCGTACTATGGTGCATTCTAAAGCCAGATTGAGCTGGAGTTATTATATTTTGGTCATATACATATTTGCTAATTTGATCTTTAAGTATAAATTCAAACGATTTAGAAAGGGTTGGTAGAATACTAATAGGACGCAAGTCAGATAAGCTAGTAGGTTGATTACATTTAGCAAGCGGAATAATAAAGGCCCGTTTCCACGAAAGTGGATAATGAGACGAAGAAATTATTTTATTAAAAATAAATGTTAAATGATTGATTAAATAATTTTCTACTAACTGTATCATGCGCAGTGATATGTTATCTAAACCAACGGCATGACTTTTTATACGATTTAGAGATTTTCGAACTGTATCAGAAGAGACAGATTTAAATTCGAATTTATTTTCATATATATTTTCATAGTACCGATCAAGTAAGGCTAATTGGTCATGTGACTTCAGAGTAGTAGGAGATGAATTAAAATGTTTGTTAATTTCAGTAACATTACTTAAGTTAGGTGGTATAATAGGACTGGCTTTTTTTCTAAGAATTTCTAAGGATCTAAGAGTGTTCCAGGTGGTCTTGGAATTCTTTTCTCTAAGAATAAAGTTTAAATAAGCCTTTTTTTCTCGTCGAATTGCTCCAGTAGTAAAATTCCTTAGGTCGGTATAGCTAGTCCAATTTACTGCAGTCTTATTTTTTTTATATTTTTTTAAAGCTTTGTCTCTTAACGAAATCATTACTTTTATATTATAAGTAATCCAAGGGGTATGCGGTTTCGTAACTTTTTTTCTTACTAAAGGAGCATATACAGAGAAAAGCTGGATTAAGGAATTATTCAGATGGGAAATCATATGTTCAACGTAATTTAATTCGTAAATTATGTCCCAATTTATGGAACCTAATTCAGCATTAAAAAGATTAATATCAAATCGTGAAAAGTCACGATAGGTTATATACTTAGCTTTCTTTTCTAAAGTGATTGACTCTATGTTGCAAAGAACAGCTTCATGATATGACAAGCCACGGCCTCTGACATCTAATACCTCAACACATGTTGTTTGATGGACATCTGACACAAATATAATGTCGATGAGAGTTTTGCTGTGCGGGGTTATATGAGTTGGTTCATTAACAATTTGTGTTAGTCCATAGGAATTTAAAAAATTTATACATAGATCACAACCTCTACTAGGCGTCATAAAATCTATATTAATATCTCCTGAGACAATGAAAAAGTCACAAGATGGTAACAAGTTGGCGACGCTATCCTCCAATTCATCAAGGCAGTTGATAACAGAAGAATTAGGGGGGCGATATATAACTCCAAAAATATATGTTTTTCCGCGAAACTTGGTAGAAATCCAAAGTTGCTCAAGGTTAGGAGTAATTCGCGAAAAAATTAAATTATATTTGATACTTGAATTAATATAGAAAGCAACACCTCCGCCTCTCCCATCCCTATCAGCTCTAACAACTTGGTAAGAACCAATAAAAATAAGTCACTTTATTTAAACTTTTATTATTTGCTATAATTAACGACATAGTAACTGACAAAATTATGAACTTAAACTAAATGAAGGGGCCCGTGTTTCTCAACTAAGCGCAATTTTCTGCGAACGTTGTTCATTAGGTCCTGGACGGCTACAGCATCTATTTCGCGTATCTTTCTAAAAATTCTACGCCGTAGTTGTTCCTCATTTTCGGCTTGCCACCCTCCATCATACACTCTGCGAGATAAAAGTGTCCAAAAATCTTCAATTGGGCGGGCCTGATGTAAATTAGGGGGATTCTCTTCTTTTGGTGCAAAAGGTATGTTATTTTGGTGAAGCCAATTTTGAGTTGCTCTTGCATAATGGCATGACGCTAAGTCGGACCAAAACAATATATCGTCTCCATCGTGATGTTGGTGTACAAAATCAACTAATTTAGTGAGGCAGTTGTTAATATATCTTTCAGAATCAATAGGTTCCCCCTTACTCGACCCACATAAGGTCTAGAAATTCCCCTAGTCGAAATCGTACACCAGACCAAAACTTTATCAGCGAATTTTGCTTTTTCTTTATATTTTACATTATTTGGGCACTCTTCTATATTATCTGTATAAAAACCATCGTTTCCTTTGATTTCCGAGTTGACAAGTGTAAAATATTTTTCATCGTCTAGAATAATGACTCTTTCATTTGCAAAATGTATCCGCCTTAGTTGACGACAGCTTCTTGGTATCCGTGCTAACTGAGTTGGGGTATATTTAGGCTTGCTTCTTTTTCGATATTTTTGACAATTTCTTGCTAATTCCCGAGACACTGTACTCTTTGAACAACCAAATTGACGTGCTAATTTTCTTATGAAAACCCCTACTCTGTCTTTTGTTCTTCTTACCAATCTTCCTGCTCTTTCTCGGGTAAAAATTCTTGGTTTTCCACTTTTTGGGAGATTTAGACAAGGTATCCCTTCTTCACATTCGGCAATAGCACGGTAAATACTTCTGCGTGAAATATTTTGGTTTTGAAAAATGCGAACTGTTTCAGTCTTGGGAATCTGTCCAACCAAATTATAAACTTATAAGACATTTTAATGAAACTAACATTAAAAACGATTGGTCTAACAAATGTCAAAAATAATTTTTTGGTTCTAAAGCCATTTTGATATTTTATCATTATAGCCTATTTTTAGACTCCTAAATTTTGTGCCAAAACTATTGGGATATACGTTACTTTTTTTGTTCAATAGGCCAGTAAGTAGAGACGTACCGACCGAAAAAATATTAATTCTAACATTTTTGTTTTTTTTATGTATTTTTATGTTCTCAAAAAGCATACGATTTATTTTTAATAACATTTTTAAAAATGAGACCATTGGGCCACTCAATTGGAAAATAAGAACAAAAATTAAAAGATATTGGTCATGTAATAGATTTAAAATAATTGTTAAGTCTTCACTTATTTAGTATAATAATAAATAAGTTTAAATTGACTATTATCATCCAGTATAAAACGTAATATTTCACTTATATTTATTATTCTCATTACTTATACTTCTCCAAGACGGTATTGCCTTAATTGGTCAAAGACCACATTCTTGTGGCGAAGAACGATGCTTGGATTCAAACGGTCGAACATCAGTATCGTCTCAAAACTCGTAAAGTACAGTCGAGTATTCGAGCATTGTGATAATTCGGTACAAACCCGCAAGTTACATTTCCGAACATTCAAATACCAGCCCCTAATACAGTCCATGACCCCTGCAGTTTAGAGTGGAGGCGCCTAGGAAGAGAAGTCTGCGTCAGGAAGCCAAGGAAATTAAAGGTATGACCTGATTGGCGAAGTTTTAAATTTTTTAAGGCGCGTGGCACACCGTTAGCTTAACCATGACCTATTCAATAAATAATAGATAATAAACCAAGATTATAGTATTCTTTTTAATAAATTATTTACCGTAATTAACATTGTTTAAATTTGTTTACCAGAATATGAAAGTGGAATCGATATTTTATACAACCTTTATTATCAGATTTTTTAATTTCCCGCTCCGTTATTTGTTCGATATCGACGAAAGCGCTGGTGGTTGTTAATTATGTGCTTCTTACGAGCGTTTCCTATCTGTATGTCCCTTATCGCTGCTGAAAACAATTTAAGAAGACATAAATGGTCCTTTTCACAAGGAAAAGGATAAAAATGGAATTAAAGCTTCCAGAACTCGCTAAACACAAAACTAAACTTAGCAACAGAGGTGAAGTACTTAGGTCTCACCTTTTACAGCAAGTTAACATGGAACTCACTCTTAGAAAACAGAGTCAAAAAAGCATACATCGCTTATGAACAATACCGCCGAACCGTGGGGCGCACCTGGGATTTCTCCCTCAGAGTCGTCGCATGAACTTACACGGCCATCATAAGACCTATTGTTACCTTCTTTTTGATTTTTACGATATAAATTGTACTTAAGAGGTGATTTAGCTCAAATTGCTGATACTGCCTGGGTTCATAAATTGACCAGGACAAATAAAATCAGAGTAGCTTGACCTGTTCGCGGGCCAAAGTCTACGATAAAATGAAAGATACTATAATGCGATAACGACAAAAATGTTGAGCGTCACCAAGTTTTTGAGTAACTTGGAAAACTTATCTGATTTTATATGCTCTGTTTAATTGAGTCAGTCTCTGGTACTTAAAGTTATCTGTATGAGTTCTGGTAAATAAAAGAAAGTGAGAAAATTTAATATATTTAATAAAAAAAGTAAAAAAAAATGAATTTATACAATAAATTAATAATTAAATTTGAAAAATGAATTAAAATTGATTGTTACAAAAAAAATTGAAATAAGTTGAATAGATATTTAATATTTATAATAGGTATTTAATTGCCTCGACCTTGTGGCATTCTAATAACGGTACTTTCCTGTCGTATGTCGCGGACAATCCGTCTTTACTTAGAAACTTAGAGCTTGTGTAGAGAAGCTACATAACCTGGAGCTTGGAATTAGACTTGGAGCTCGGAACTTGGAGAAACTACATAACTCTGAGCCTCTTGGAGAAACTCGGAGTTGGACTTGGAGCTTAAAGCTTGTAGCCACTACAGGTTTAGAAATAAAAAGGACCTCAGTAACAGTAATAGTACGTCTACAGG